TGCAGAAATAACACAATAGAGATCTCATCAACGAAATTCGGCCAGAAACAATTTTTCTTTTTAGTTCTCCAGACCTTTTTTTTTATTTTTAAACACTTTTCAAGTTTATGTTAGATTAAAACTCTTGAAACAGTTTTGTTTGCAAATACTTTACGTTTTAAACTTGTATGTAGAAAAATCTTGATTATTTATAACAGTCGTTGAACAGCCGACCCGACCCAATTTTTAGGATTTACGACTTCTAATGTTCAACTCTGTAGCCTTGTAATTTTGAGCTCAGTGCATTAGACAAGGGAACTCCTGGATCAAATATTGGGAGAAATTTGCCTTCTCAGACGACTTATTGATGGAACTAATTCTCATTTGCGTTACATGGAGAGGAAAATCCCTCCCACGGTTAGTCTGACGGCAAGGGGACTCTCATCCATGATCCGTCTACCACTGAGAATATTTCACGTCAGCACAGTAGTCGGTCCCAGCCGGAAGCGGAATTTGCTGCCCAGCCGTCCCTGGGATTTGAACCCGGTTCACCTCATTGGAAGGCAAACGATCTATCCCCTGCGCCATCACAACTCAATGTATATAGATTGAATGAAATGTACATAAATCAGAGATCTTACACTATATTTCATACAAAATTTAACAAAAAATCGCTCTTGTCCAATGAGAGAGATCGAAGAAATCTGATTAAAATATATCAATACGATGTCTTATACTTATACAGGGTTATTCATAATTCCCACCGCCTATAAACGCCATCTTTCTTTAATACAACTGGCTTCAGTGGTACATGTTACTGCCATCTACCGGCAACTGCTTAAATTAAAACTTGAATACTTTCGGAATAATTTCATATGTTCTTTTTTGCTATATTCGTCTTCGTTTTTTTTACTATAACGCTTCGAAACCCCGGAGGGAATTACGAATAACCCTGTATTAGTATATTTGGTACTTATTACATAACTCTTCAACATTTGAGTTTTGCGCGAATTACATTTATCAGTAGCAACAAACTGAAGAGGGAATTTTTGAAGCAAATAAGATTCCTGTGAAACCTTGTCAAAGATTTTCGAGCTTGACCATTTCTCTATCTGACATTTAATTTATTGTTAAAATATTTATAAGTAGCGGTAAAAAAAAGTTCATTTATTTCTAATTCGTTTAAATATTAATACATTATCTTAGCTACCACTGGAAAAATATTTTCTGGAGCTACGGAAAACCCGTAGCAGGATTCTTATCAAAGCTGCAGCGATTACCAGTAGTACACTGGTCAAATCGTCAGTACACTGGTAAAAATTTCGAGATTTGTTGCGCCAAACATTGGTACTATTCATTTGCTGGCATGATGGTGAAACATGGGCTTTCATTAGCTCCAAATAACTAAAAGCTGAAGAAGGTTGTACCATGATTAGATATTGTTAAAGGAAATTAAAAGTGAGGAAGGTTGCACTAATATTAAGTATTTTCAAAGCGTCAAAAAGCAGCGAAAGTTAACATTATTATTAGGTATTTATAAAGCACCTAAAACAGAAGAAGATTGCGCCATCAATTGATATTTTGTCAATCCCAAATTCGGAGAAAAGGTCAGGTCATATAGTGTAATTATACATAAATGATATAAATATTTTTTTGAATGATTATATGAATGATATTTTTTTAATAATGTAAAGATTTGCACTATAGTGTAATATTTCCCTAATATTCAGTATACAAGTAGAGCACCAACTTTATGTAACTCAACTTATAATTTGTTTTACATAAATTTTATTAATAAATTGAATGGTCACAATTTATTAATAAAATTCGGATGAACACAAGATATAAGAATCGGATGAACACAACCGACAACCACGGCTAAAGGTCTGGTTTCTTAGGACAAGCGCCTTATCTGAGCGTCAGCGGAACGTCAAAGTCCCGCTGACGCCAACAAAATACTGGTTTGTTAGCTCAAGGCCTGGTTTTTTAGAACTAGCGCCTTATCTGGGCGTCAGCGGAAAGTTGACGTAGAGCTGACGCCAAAAAATTACTTTTTTGTTAGCTCAGCTTGAGCAGTCGGTCCAAAGCAGACATTATTTCTCATTGCGCATGCGTTAATAACGTAAACAAATATTTATTTTGAATTTGTATTGATTTTGTTTTTGTCGACCAGTGTTTTAGAGAACAAATAATGACTTTGTTCAAGAAAAAACACATTATAGCTGAGCTAAATGAAGAGTGCTATGTTTAATGAAGGAGCTATGTTTAATGTCGAAATCAAAATCTTGGCTGATTTCAATGTGGTGTTGGATGTTGTCCGCCATTGCTTCTGTGGTTAACGTCACGTTGTAATCCAACTGCAGTTGAGTTGGACGGCAATTGTAGTTCAAGATGAGCGTTCGATGACGTATACTATCAAGCTCACAAATGGACCAATCAGAGGTTAGCGCTGATTTCCAGCTGACGGCGTCCTGTCCTGAGAAACCAGGCCTTAAGAGTGAACAGTCTGATATTTAAGGAGTGGATATTTTGCCATAATGGTTGTTGCAGCACTTCACTTCTCCCGGTGACGCCCACCTTCAAGTGCTTGCATTTGACAGTTTAAGTTCTTAATTTTTTTAATAACTACTTTTAAAATGTTTTTTACGAATAACCTTTTTCTGGAGTTTGTTTGTTTATTGATGAATTGTTAACTTTTGCTATTAAAGAAGGATGTTTCTGTGCAATAGTGCTTTATTTGACACATTTCAGTTTATCAATAAACAACAATGAGCATCAATGTATTATTAATGCACTTGGTAATTTATTATTAAAAAAATTCTAGGCAATCGATTGGCTACTGTGGAGTGTATCCAAGAGCAATGGTATTCAGATGATTACGCAACAGGGGATTCTAGTCTGCAGGTTAAAGTAGCAGAGACTTAGTAGAGTAATAGCAGAAACATTAGATGTAACAATTGAACAAAATGTGGAAAACTTGCATTAACAAATTAATTATTAAATGTGTAAGTAGAATAAGTAAAATAAAATAAGAATGAGAAAGTATAATAAGAGAAACAGGAAAGATATATTGTAGTAACAGTTATTAAATTGTGTTGTGAGTTCGTGGCCTCGAACCCCGCCGGCCGAAGACTCCTCGTGTAGTTGGTGACTGATGCACGTTAAAACTCTGTCCAGTCGCAAAGTCCTCCATATTCCCATAACAAATGAATGCCTCTGGGGGTACTGGATTGGAGATCGATCGTTCTCTGATTCAGGTCAAAATTACGATCTGTGGATGAATGAACGGATGTATGAATGCATCCGCCTTATAAACAGGTGTGACGTATGATGTGGCAGAAGTCGAATTCTTGGCCATAGATGGCGCCACTGAAAAACAAGAATCGTACACTCTGCTTTAAATTTCCTCGGTTTCACCAAGCAGGCTTCCCCGTGTGGCAAGTGGCACTAGAACCAACCAATTGTACAAAGGTTCGTAATTGTGGTGGTTACAAGTTGATGGTGGTTACATTGCTGATAATTTATTAAGTGGTTTATAAAATACAAATCAGAACAAAATTGGCATTGAGACAAGAATTGAGTGAGGGATTGATTTAATTATGATCAGCAATTGTGTAGGTCAGAATTAAAGTCAGGTAACAACAAAATGAGGGAAATGGAGTTTTAATAAAATAAATTAAAACTGATTATCAAATTTAAATTAAAATATTGAATAAGATTAGTATTAAATTGAGATTAAATTAAGGTTGAAATTGAAAAGAAAAAGATTTTAATTAAGATTGGTTTAAAATAGGATTAAAAGTAAGACTAAATTAATAAGTAATTAATAGATTTATTAAAATCAAAGCATGGTTAAAATTAAACTTAATTTAAAAAATAAAATTATGGTAGAGAGTAAATTAATTAAGTTTAGAATTAAAACATTTTTAAAAGTAAAAAAAAAAAAGAAAAAGAAAAAAAAAGGCACCAGTGCGACTATTTTGCGCTTAGTCACAAGATATCGTATTTAAAGTTCGGACACTCGGGCTCGGGCATTTTTATCCACCACTATTTCTAAATAATTCGTAGGTTTATATAATTCAGCACTTCATAATACTTATGCCATACTAATACTTTTTAAAAAGCAAGCAAATGTAGTCAAATATTTTCAAAATTAACTTTGTAGTTATCTACCGTTCTTTTAATTATTTTGGCGTGTCCGGAGCAGTTGGCATCTGTGCATGTAAGAAGTTAGTGCTCATATTAACTCAAACAGCATTATAAAGTCCTTGGAGTATAAAGGCAGAGATGCCAACTTGCTGTGGACAATAAATATATATTTTAAAGTGGTAGTTTATCAATTGTGATTCTTGGATTAATAAATTCAATTTAGTAGACTTTTATCCGCCACTGTTTCTAAATAATTCGTAGGCTTACATAATTCACCACTTCATTTTATTTATGTCATGCTATACCTTTTAAGAAGCAAGCTAAAGTTGTCAAATATTTGCAAAATTTACATTGTAGTGATTTACCGTTTTTTTAGTTGTTGTGGAGTGTCCGGAGCAGTTAGCATCTCTGTAAAGGGTTAATATCTTTTTACATAAAGCGAAAAAGAAAACAGGCCTGCCAACTTCTACGATTTTGGCAAAATATTTTAAGGAGTGGACATTTAAAAACCAATACTTTCAGAATATTTGGTAACTGCACAATTTTAAAAGCTTTATCACGAAAGAGTGGCTTCGTAAATCAATTTTTAAATAATTTATATGTGTAGTGGTGTGGAAAATAAGTTTAAATGAATTAAAAATAATAAATAAAAACAGAACCATAGCTGCCACTAGAATAAAGTTTAACAAAAGGCGTTGAAAGTTGGCAGCCCTGAAAACGGGTAAAAGAAATAAACTTCTGATAATAAAATAAAACAGTGAGTGAGAAAAACATTTTATAAAAACGTTAGTTTATTGTTAGAATTTATATCTGAAAAAGATAAGGAAGAGATAAAACAGTATCAAAACGATATTATCTAATAGTTTCTTCTCTTTCTTTGACGCAGATTAAGTATGCACCCTGCGGTTCTAGCTTTTTTACTGTCTCAAAAAGTCAAAATATTTAATTAAAACAAACGGAACTTAAAATGAGTAGGGAAAGATTTGTGAAACTATTTTGTTTTTTATTATTATCATTTACTTTTAACTTTACTCATACAAAGGCAGAGGAAAAAGATTTTGAATTATCAAATGCGTTCAGGGATGTTGAAAATCACGGTGCCATCTCCGCAGGTATTTATATATATTTTGTTTCCACTTAATGATAAACCAAAATCGAGTATACGATATGCATACGAATTGAGTATATCATGTGTATATGAATCGAGTATATGATATGTATATGAATTGAGTATATGATATAAATACGAAGTGAGTATAAGATATGTAAACAGAGTAATAGAGTTTAAAATTTGTATACTAATCGAATAATCGAGAATATGGAAGCATCGAATAATTTAGTATACGATATGCATTCGAATCGAGTATGTGATAAGTATATAAATCTAGTATATGAAATACGAAGCGAGTATACGATATGTAAACAGAGTAATAGAGTTTAAAATTTGTATACTAATCGAATAATCGAGAATACGGAGGCATCGAATAATATAGTATACGATATGCATTCGAATCGAGTATATGATAAGTATATGAATCGAGTAATCTAGTATCAATTTGAGTAATCGATACGATATACGATACGATTCGTGTAATTCATTATTTGATATGTGTAGTGTACGATTCGGAAAATCGATTATACGATGTATTAATTGAGTAATCGAGCACATGACAAAAGAGAGTTTACTATAACAATACGTGATTCCCACTTGTCTCAAAGCTTAATAGTAGCAGAGTTGCCAGCTTTGTCTGCTCTGTAGGGAAGTTTTTTTTAAAATGTATTTTAAATTAAGACAAATAAAGATGTTTTAAGTTAATTAGCAACTACCATCAAATATTTCCCGTTTTATGCAATTTAATGATATATTGCAAACCAAATTTTGTTTAAAATTTACTTGAGTGAATAGTAAGTGTACTACCCACTTCACTTTTATGCGGTAGAATTACATCTAAGTTTATGATGGGATAAATTATGATCACATGTTAATTTTTTTTTGTTGTCTTAAATGTTATTTTTAAAGAAGCAGACAAGTGTATATATATAAATTTAAACCAATACGTTCTCAATAAACTCGCAATATTAAAAGAAAAGCATAAATTTAAATTAGTCGTGGTATATTAAAATTATTCGAAGCATATATTTAAAATGCATTCATTGCGTAAATTTTGCAATTGGGCTTTGACTTTTATGTTACATCAGATTAATAAAATAAACAAAAAGTGGTAGTAAGTCTTTTTTTTTCCTCAAATAAAAACTAGGAAATTTTTTTTTAATTTTTTCTTCTCTAGCTATTATTAAGTTCAAATGAGGGGAAAAATAATAAGCGAAACTAAAAATATAATTTTGAAAAAAAAATCTGTAGCTTACGGAACAAATCCAATTTCAGATGCGAAATCCCCTATTTAAGTAGGATCAAGGCACTTGTATAAATACAACAATAAAATTGTTCCCATGTTCACTGGAATTATATTAACACGTTGAATGCCATGGGGGTCACCGGAGATCGGCACTGAGTTTCTTCGTAGCGCCACGGGGGTCACCACTGACCTGCGAAGTCAAGATTATTCGAAACACATAATTCGAGTAAATTTTTAATTTTTTTATATTATTACCGTTACTTAAATGGTTTGAAGAAATGAATGCAATATAGAACACACAAAAATAGTTTTATTTATGTGCACAGTTTTGTTATGTTTGTTGAGATTTTTTCTTTGATTTGTGGAGGTAATTTCATGTCACTTGGAGTAAACGTTTTTTCATGTGTGGCTTTATTAAAAACAAAGGAAAGCATTTGATTTAACCCTTTCGTGCCGACTATCACAAATACCTATGCCTATGCCTATGTGAGGTGTGTATCTAAGTATCGGCCCCGAAGGGGCCCTAACTCATTCATCTCAATGGGAAAGTGTTTTAAAAAAACTGCCTAAGCAGATCTGAGGTGGATGTTGTAAATCAAGTGGGGCAGGAGATCGTCCGTGGTTGAGGTGGGCTTGGGGTGGATTCCGTTGGCTAGGTCTTGAGTGTTGGAATGAGAGAAGTAAGCAGCTGGATTACTGCTTCATCTTTAAGTAACTCCTGAAGTTCTTTGAAGACCTTCAGGAACCTAGTGGCGTTCGAAGTGGAGTCTTTTGGTCTGTTCTGTGGAGCTCGATGATTTCTCTTAGGCCGGGCACTACATCCTGTAAAACAGGCTGGGTGGGCGTCTTTACAGTTGGCACATGTCGCTGGGAGGGAGAGAGGCTTCGTGCATAGATAAGTGAAGTGGGCTCCGGCACACTTCATGCAGGCAGGTTCGTTGGGGCAGGATTTCTGCGTATGCTCAAATTTCTGGCACTTATAGCATTGAATAGCTAAGCGCCCTCCATGAAATTTCTCAATCTTTACTGGAAGAGTAAGGAGAGTCTTCACGTCGATGAATTCCCGATGTTCTGGGGAGTCTGGGAGTATCACTAGAAACAGGGGGAGGAGCTTGTAGCCGTCGCCACGCCTCTTTCTAAGTTGCTCAATTTTGATTGGGCGAAGTCCATTCGCCTCGATGTCGTTCCGGAGACTGTCTGTCGGGTGGTCTACGGTGAGTCCTCGCACGAGAAATCTGAGTTTTCTCGGCGGAGTTGAAGGAGTTTTCGGTGGAGAAGGCTCCATCGGAACTGGTTCTAACTGATTTGTCGCTGGTGGGTTTTCTGGGGTCAGGTCAGAGGCAGGAGTGGCTGGCTGACGGGGTCCGTTACCGTCTTTACTCTTCTTCTTTTTCTTTCTCGGTCTTTTTGTGGGAGATTTGGGATCAGGCAGCACTTCTTCTCTGGTCTCTGTTGATGATTCTACAGTCGTAGACTCGGGGGGTGATTCAGAAGTAGGAGTTGGATCACTGGGTTCCTTGGGCTGTTCGGGTTGGTCTGGCTTTTCGGTATCCATGGACTTGAACTCGTCGTCAGGTTCCTCAGGGAGCAATTCCTTCCTTCTAATTATCAGGGCACGTCTTTGAAATTCTGCTATGTAGGGTGGCTTATCACCTTTTTCAATATGCCTATTTATTCGTATTTCGCATTGTTCGATCTGGAAGTCAATGTACGATAGGTCAGACGTTTTTGCAAATGGTGCAGCATAAGCTAGCCGTTCCTCATCGGTAGTCAGCAAGTCAAATTTTTCCTGTCCGGTGAGTGGTCGCTGCGCGGGCCTTTCGGACCGCCGCTTCCCACCACGGGCAAAATTATGGTAAGACATAATAGTAGAGCTCGGTCACAACACAACCTCGCTCTAAGAGGGTCAGTGAACGAGGGTGACTATCACAAATACGTGACAGCATAAAACCGTATCAATCAGGTTAAAAATATAAAACTGGTAATCAAAGTATTTCTTTAGCAGTTTATTTGTGGGCGGAGTAATAATTGTTTGATTTATTTAATTCACCAATCCTTTGTTCAAAATAAAACTATTTAGTTATACTTTGAATTAACATTGATTATATATATGTTTAAACTAACAATAATTAAATTAAAAGCAAAGTAAGTCTGTCAAATTAGCAACGACTACATTTAAGTTACCGTTTTTTATTTAATTACAACTTGATTCTGATTTTGTACGAATGCTTTTCTGAATCACCCGTCCCCAAAGGGTTAAATAAGAGATATCTGAGTCAATATCGTCGTTGTTTGCTTGCAAATACAAGTGTAATAAAGTTGCAGCTCATATGATACTTTGAATTCTTGATATGCAGTGGTGGGAAAATTAATTAAAATGAGAACTATTTAATTAAAAATAGCTTAAATCTTTAGAAATGATTAATTTAAAAGAAAGAGCAAGTTTCTAACTGCTCATAACTCTGATTTCTTATTGGTGCTACGATTCAGCCAATGGCTTTGCAATTGCAACAAATAGTTCAAAATTATTTTTCTTTCTTGTTTTCAAAACTCATAATGAAAATTACCTCACGATTTCACAAATCAAGAGGAAAAGGTGAAAGGCCTCCTAGGGGAATAAAAGCCTTGAGCTTGAACTTGAACTATAGTAGGGAACAAAGTACCTGTCCGCGAAGCGGACTATCGACTTCTTCATCTAAAGTAGTGCCCGAGGGCGCCTGTAATAATGTCGATAGAGTTCGATAAAAAATCGAGTCCTTGTTGGGGGTTGGCATGAGTTGGAATAGAAGATCATCATTCTGTAGGGGAAGACCCCTTGATTAGAGATTGAAGTAAACCTAGCACTTCTTGATTTTTCAGGATCTCCTGCAGTTCCTTGATGATTGTAACAAGTCGATGTGCTAAGGTAGCAGGTGTATCCTTAGTCTGAAAACTTTTTCTTCTGGGACGAGCCTCGCACCCAGAGAAATTTGATGTATGGCTTCCCTCGCAGTTGCAGCATTTGGCGGGGGAACTTCTATCTTTCTTGCATTGATATGAGAAGTGCATTTCTGCGCATTTCATACATCTTGGCTGATTGGAGCAAAAACGCTGCGTATGGCCGAAGCCTTGGCATCTGAAACATTGTTTCGGCCGGCGGCCGCCACGAAATCTCTCTGCACTGATGGTAAACTGTTGAATACTTTTCGTTGCGAAGATCTTGTCCTGATCTGCCATTGGTGCGATGACGAGAAAAAGGGAGAGGAGCCTATAGGCCCCGCCCACCCTCTTCTTGAACTGTATAATTTTGTGAATTTTTAAGTCCAATTTTCCAAATTCTTGGAAAATGATATCCGTATCAAAATCATCTGGCAGTCCTCGGATGAGTATTTTGGCATGCTTGGTAGTCAGAGCTTTTTCTGTTTCATTGGAAGTCTCTTTGTCTTTTTTGGGAGTCTCGTCCGTGGAAGCAGATGTAGAAGTTGGCTTAGTCTCCGGCTGAGAAGAGGGCTCGGAAGGAGAAGAGCAGCTTAGTGTCGTAGAAGTAGGGCTTGGAGTGGTATTAGCAGCATTAGTGGGCTTCTTTTTCTTCTTCTTTTTTCTCTTCTTTGTCGGTGGTTCTTGGGAGTTACTGGCAGCATTAGAGGCCGAAGCCTCTTCATTCGGCTCTTGATTCTTTTCAGTCTCCATAGGAGGGGGAAAAGTCTCAGTAGCTTGTTCTATTTCTTCCGATCCCGAAATTGGATTCTCCTCGGGGGGACTCGGCTGGATTGGGTTTCCTGAGTAATATGGCCTAGTTGCTCCTTCGGGAACCTGGAAATCGTCCAGAATTAGGATATACCCCTTCTTGTCCAGCTGAATAAACGTTCCGTAGCAGTCTTCGTATATATCTCCTGGTTTTAGATTGGGAAGTTTGTAGTCTGTGTAGATAGCCGGTCTAGAATAAGCTGTCGGTGGTGGAGCGCTGGACGTAGTCTTGCCTACCCTGCCGGAACGATGATTAGAGCCGCCGCGTGAGGAATAACCAACACGTGAAGGTACAAATCCAGTAGCATAACTAAATCTTGATGACATGATTCAATCTCACAGAGCTGGCCGGTGAAAGCCCTTTTATAGCAAGACGTAAAAGATGAAAAACTGGTACGCAACACATTTTATTATAGCATTTTTTCCGAGAAAAATAAAATATCTGTAACTACCAAGATTTCTTTAAGATTTTAACATATATAATAATCTGCTTCGTCTCCAAGATTAAATAGATATTGTTAAATAGCTATAAAAAAGAATAAGTTAACTCCTCCCAAAAACTATAAATAACTGAACTGATTTTACTACCAGCCTATTCCCTTTTCCGTCTCGCTTTTACCCCTGCCTTGAGCTGACTATATGGCTAGAAGTTGTCACGTGGTAACTCTTGAAAAGGAAGCGTAATTGCCCTTATTCTACAAGTGTTACCTATTTTACTTCGCATTTAATGTTAGCGTCCACCAGCAATGCTACGGAACGCAATTTTTTAAGTTGTATGAACGAAAAAAAATACTTTAATGATCAAAGATCTTACCCTGTATATCATAAAACGTATTTATATCTTAAAGTGGTATATTTTTAGAATGCGAATTAGAATTAATTTTTTTTTTTTTAATTATAATTTGAATTTGTAGAAACAATGTAATGAAATGCTGTAGTTATCAGAGTTGTTAATATTCCGAAAAGTAGAAAAAACTAGTAGTATACCATTTAATTTCTATCATTTCCTCGGGAGACTATCGTCCGTGAATACCAAAAATTGTTGAATGTTAATTTTACTGAAAGAACTGTGTATAATATTTTCCCCATTCATCATGAACATTGAACTATTGTGGATGAGGTGATGGATTTTAATTTTACATATCTGCTAGCTTGTAGGGTCGCTGAAAAATATTTTACAAAGTGGGAAACAACAATTATGTTTGGAAATGTTTGTTTTGATTTTGAGATCGAAGTTAAATGATATTTTAATATGTTAGCGGCATTTAACTTACTGAAAGGTTATCTCGATTTCAAGCGGGGATCCTTTTACTCCCCCGCGCTGAAATGAACTTTGCGTCCGAGGAGGTGGAGCCAAGTGCCAACTCCTGGTGAACGAACTATACTTGAAACGGAGCTAATGTAAATTTGCAAAATCTCCCTAATGACTCGTCGTGGTAGTAAAACAATTTTTTTTTAAACTTTAAACATCAAGATTTAATGAGGCCAAAACATTAAACGCAACTAAGATTTTATTTTAAATTAAGTATGCGTTATAACTTTTTAAAAGTTTTGTTTATCAGAGTTTCGATACTCTTCTCAAAAACAAGTAAGGTGGTTTTACTATCAATTTTTTTTTCTTCTCTGAGATTCAAACAACCTTGAGTCATCACTGATTTCTATTGCTCCTCAATAATACTACTGGATTGATTCAAATTATATAGCTCACCACTTGATTTTTTAAAAATTTTCTTGAATTTAAATAGTATTTAAACATTTGCTGACAATTATTTTCATTTTTTCAGATGTTTGCAATTCAACAAAAGACTGTAATTTCTTGGGACAATGCATCAATATTGCAGGAGAAAATATTTGCGATTGTTATTACAATGGATTGAGCGGTAAGAACTGTGAGATAATTGATGAATGTTTTCAAAACAGTGGTATGTGCGGCGCAGATGGGGACGCCGATTGTTCGTTCCACATGATGAAAAAGAAAGCCTACTGCAAATGCAAAGAAGAAGGTCAAAGATTTGATGAACCAACGAAGAAATGCGTGCCACAAAGTGAGTTTTATGAAAATTTCTTTTAAACATTTTATTTTTGAGGCGCATCAAAGAAATTTTTGAAACTCCAACTTCGATAAAAGAGGAAATATATCCGGAAACGCGTTTTGAAACAAAGAAAATAGATCACAACACGTGCTTGAAAACAGAAATAAATCTCGAAGCGCGATTTAAAACAAAGTAAATAGATTCCAAAAACGCGTTTAGAAAGTAAGGAAATAAATCACAAATGACTGATACAGTTTTAATGGAGTGCCTATCCTAGGGGGATATCTGCTCCTTCATCTAAGTCAGTGTTTCCCAAACTTATGACTTTTGTGTACCCTTTCTAAATTTTTCGTAAAGCTGTGTACCACTAATATAAAATGAATGTATTTTTTACAATTAAAAATTGCACAAAAGTTAAAAATCACAACTGGCTGTTGACACCACTAATTATTAACTGTTATTTCTGCAAACAATAGCCAATAGAAAAATACGTAATCGTGAATTTTTATGGCTAGCTTTGTTTTTTAATAAAATTTTTTGAAATTTTCGTTTGTTGCAAGATATTTCGCATAAAAACGTGTACCCCCGCTAAACTGTCCTGGGGGTACGCGTACCACACTTCAGGAAACACTGATCTAAGTTATAAAATTTAAAAGGAGGATGGGACGGGTGGTGCGGGGGTTAACATATGTTAAGTCTCAATGGGTGACCATATTACAAATAATGCAAAGTCTGAGATAAATATATACATGTAACACGCAATGGGATTAGATCACAGCAAGGGCTGAAAAGACGGAAAAGAGTAAAAACTGGTAAAAAATAAATTTCATTTTTGCCCTTTTTTTCCGGAATAATACAATATCCATGACTACCAAAATTTTTTAACGTATGCACTTTATATATTGAATTGCTTTTTCTACGAGAAAAATTTAATAACAAGGAATTATTTATTATTAAGAATAGGTTTCCTTCTCCTGAAAATTATCTATTATTGAAATAGTCCTACCAGTGTTTTCCTTTTTCCGTTTCGCTTTCAGGCCAGATCACAACACACAATTAAAAACAAAGGAAAATTGAAATGCATAGCTGCCAACTCTTCCTGTTTTCACGGAAGATTGTATTTTCATATTTTGAGTGGTAGCGAGAATCATGTAATTCCAATTAACTTTTTGAGTTATAATGATAATTATACATGAGTTTGACCACCACTACATATAAATAATTACAATAAATATATAAAAGCATACTAACCAATGCAAAAGAGAATAACAGCGTGATCAAAGTACAATTATATTATTGTGTCAGATTGTTTTTCGTTTATTGTTTCACTACCACTTGGAAAGTCCTTTCTCGGAAAGAGTGAAAGTTGGCAGGTATGGAAATGGCATTCTGAAAAAAGCACACAAAGTTAACCAGTTTTATCCAATTTATGTCAGCAATTTCCTTAAGCAAGCAGCGATTCACGTTTCCTTTTTTAAAAAAATATAAATCTTTGCATATACAGAGTGGCCAATTTTCTCCGGACCACAAATATATATTTTAAAGTGGCAATTTATCAATTCTTGATTTAATAAATTCAATTTAGCAGATTTTTAACTACCACTATTTCTAAATAATTTGCAAGCTTATGTATTTCACCACGTTATACTATATCATATTTTTCCAATGCCATTAGTTTCAGTCGCCCTAGGGCATAACACAGATCAGAGGTCTGGTGCCCGCTTGCGCGGGCCGGTACCTTGCCAAATTACATGATCTAGCTAGCTATATCATATTTAAATTCCTTTTACTTCAATTGCATTCCAATTACCTGAAAGAACCACCCCAAAGATCAAGACGAATGGGGAAAAGGCCGCTAACGGCCCCAGGCGCCCAGATAAATGATGATGATGATAACTACCTATATCATGCTATACCTTTTGAAAAGCGAGCAGAAATAGTCAAATATTTGTAGAATTTACTTTGTAGTTATTTACCGTTTTTTTAATTATTTGGGAGTGTTCGGAGCAGTTGGCATCTCTGCATATAAAATATCGCAGTAGATTAAGAATCTTTGTATTTTCAATATGAAACTATAAAGAAATGACTTGATTGTTTTACCAGTTCTTATAATTTTGGACTAAATAACTGGCAAGTTTATTTGAAAAGCCGCTGTAATCGGTTAATGGTAAACAATAAACCCAAATTTTTAAACTCTACAGATATCTTAGAAAAGAATACCCTTATCCTACAACGCTTTTTTTTCTGTATGGTATTAAATGTACGCAGAAGTGTCTAAAACAAGTAGAATTCTTATAAAACTTTTATCAGATTTTAACAATTTGTGTACATATCTGTTCAAATTATTTCAGGGTAGGGATGAACAAATTCTAAAATGTTAAAATATTTATTTATTGATTCTTCTAGAACTAGAAAAAATATTTTCTGAGAGTAAGGGGTGAGGTTTTCGTATTTTCCCTCTCCATGTAACTCGAAAGAGGGTTACATCCATCAAAAAGATATCCGCTAAGGCTAGTAATGTCCCAGTGCTTGATACAGGAGTTCCATATGGCTTTGTTTGAAATGAGAAGGATACGGAGATACGTATTTATAGTCGCAAACTCCGAATTGTGTCAGATATTCAATACATGCTGTAAAATAGAAGAAAAAAAATATAAACTTAGCTACCACTAGAAAAAGTTTTCTCAAAAAGTTCAGACAGTTTGCAGCCCTTGGTCATTAAAGGGTCAATGGATTTAAAAAAAGCAATTTAATGAGATGCGTTCCCTTTGACCTAGGCCTAGTGGAGAATTTATCATAGATATTTGAGAATTGAATCGATAGTGGTTGACAAGTGAATTAGACAAACCAATCATATTCATAAACTAAACTAATTTTTAGACATATATTTGCTACCACTTTCTTATTTTAACTAGTTTCTTTTTATTAAAAGGCATTTATGAACCAAATATTAGACCAAGTTCAACGCTAAGTTGCCTTCATTGTAGCTCAGAATGGTCTGATCGGACTTCTTATAAGAAACCGTGTGAAGCTTTTGCCTTAGTAAATAATAAAAATAAAGAAGCAGCTTGCTCAAAATTTTAGATGATAGTATAGTAAAAGCATGAGGGTATTCTTTTTGCAGGCTGAACAGACGCAGCAGTTGAAATTTTGTTTTCTGTAGAATTTTAGTTGAATCAGGACCCTAAAAAGTTGCTATTTTCAATCTTTTTTTAATAAATTTTGGAATTTTATTACTCACCACTTTCTGAATTCTTGATCGTCCCTGACTGCCCTTGATATATTAATATTAAATATTTTTGGCGAACAATTGGGAGCCAAAACCTCATTGGGGGGCGAGTGTTCTATCCTCTGAGCCATCACAATCCGACCACAGTAGTTTGCCAACTACTATGCATAGTAGTTTGCAACTACAATGCAGCCCAAATATAGTAGATTGCCAGCTACTATATACTTTAGAAGATAGTAGATTGCCAACTACTATATACTTTAGAAGATAGTAGATTGTCAACTACTATATACTTTAGAAGATAGTAGATGCCAACTACTATATACTTTAGAAGATAATAGATTGCCAACTACTACTTCTAAAACCCTTAGTAGCAACTTTTTAGTAGTTTGCCGACTACTACTAACGAGTTTCTATTTTCAATCTGTCTTTAAAAATATTTGAATTTTATTAGTCACCACCTTTTGAATTCTTAGTCGCACCTGGGAGTCTCTGGATATATTAATCTTAAATATTTTTGGCTAACCACTGGGTGTTTGAGTATAAATTGTTTCTAATTATGCGTTTTTCATTAATTATGTGCATTTCAGAGAAATGCACAAATCATAAAGAATGCCACAATGGTGCTGTTTGCGAAGAAAGAGAAGGAGATGAGAAATATTGTTCTTGTGAATATGGAACGAGCGGAGATTTCTGCGACATCATCCAAGAGTGTGTCGACAATCCTAATCTGTGCGGTGATGCGGAATGCAGGTACAATACTCTACTTCGACGTGCATTCTGTTATTGCGACGACATCAACCAAAGGTTCGACTGGTCATCGAAAAGCTGCGTTAATCGAAGTAAGTCAACCAGAAGGTTAATCCTTATTCTTTCTTTATTCGAAAGCTGGGATAGCAAGGGTCTCGACTTGTTATACCTTTTCCTTAAATACCTTTTAATACCTATCATAAAAGGTATAAATACCTTTTATGATGGATAAATACTCTCTCTATTCTTGTGCTAACTAATATCTTTACTTCAAAGTCTGAACTATCTAAACCATTAATGTCCATATCTAAACCATTTTTCTTCGATGAGCTGTTTTTCTCTAGACATAGCTCAAAATGCCTGTAAATAAATGCAAGTAAGTCAGCAACTTGATATCGTTTGGTTTCATTAACCCCTTGGGGACGGGTGATTCATGAAAGCATTCGTACAAAATCAGGATCAGGATGTAATTAAATAAAAAGCGGTAACTTAAATGTAGTCGTTTCTAATTTGACAGACTTACTTTGCTGTTACTTTAATTATTGTTAGTTTAATCATATATATAATCAATGTTAATTCAAAGTATAACTAAATACTTTTATTTTGAACAAAGTAATGGTGAATTAAATAAATCAAACAATTATAACTCCGCCCACAAATAAACTGCTAAAGAAATACTTTGATTACCAGTTTCATATTTTTACCCTGGTTGATACGGTTTTATGGTGTCACGTATTTGTGACAGTCGGCGCGAAAGGGTTAATCATTCTTTACTTTATGTTAGTGTTTCTGATAGTCAACAGCTGTTTTTATGCGGTTGCCACGGATTATATAAATTTAAAATAGTGGTATTAAAATTAAGTTGTAATAATTTACACTTTTGAAAACCAATTTTCCGTTTAGTATTCTGAGAGTCATCTGATGAGTTACAATTGTAATATACCCAGTCACTCAGGTGTCCGGGACTCGCAATAATTGCGCTTAGCATTTAAATAAGTAGGAAAAAGTCAAAACGAAATTGTTCTTTCAGCTATTAAATTTGAGTTAGCCATCGGAAAGGTAATTGTTTGCAGCTATCATTTGATTTATACACTTCATGGGATCTGTCCATTTTCTTTAACACACTTTATGATCTGTGTGCATTTTCTAAATCATCCATTTCTATCTGTGTCGGTTTTCTACGCTTTTTGAGCTGTGTCCATTATCTTAAGCACCCATTTTGATTCATGTCTATTTTCTGAAACACGCTTTTTGATCTCTCTCCATTTTAAATACCTTTTTTTTTCAATCTTCCTTTTGCTTAAATATGCTTTTTGAGCTGTAACTCTTTTCATGAACACGCTTTTTGAGCAGTGGCCATTTTCTGAAGCACGCATTTTGATCTGTGTCCATTTTCTTAATTACGCATTTTGATCTGTGTCCATTTTTATGAACACGCTAGTAGTATATGGGGGGGGCTACAGGA